CCCCCCCTCCCCCCCCCCACATCTTCAAGTCTGCAATTCTCATTAGCTATTTAAGATAAACAAATTCTCTATTCCTTTGCATACTTATATCTATGTGGTTGTGTATTAATCTTTGAACTGTATGTAATAAATGAGGACACATCATATTTTTGGTATATTACTTTTTAAGTGTTGTCGTGATGAAGACAATGTTTGTTTCTCTTCAAATAATTTGTCCTATTTAGATTTATTTTTTACTGAGAAACTTTTGTCAATTTATTAGTTATTATAATATATGATTATATGCTTATTATAAAATAAATTATCTTTATCATAAAAATTATCTTATCTAAGCACAATTGTATTTAAAACAAAATGATAAATAGAATATTTTGTATTTGAAATTTGGAATCTAAAATTTTGAAGAAATTACGCCCTTATAAGTGTAAACAGTTCTAAGGTTATTTAAGTTATTTTAACAGAAAAAGAGTTTATCGGCATTTTTTTTTATCAAATACTGCAGTAACTTATTATTAATTTCAGCACTTGTACCCAAACATATAACTAGTTATTTAGTAAATCAATTTCACCACTTAAAAATGCTTTTCAGCCGCTCTGCTCTTTACACTTTCTCATATAATAAATTCTTTTATAATCTTAATGAACTCGACGTCTTTGTGACATGAATCATCATATATAATAGGTACTCTGCAATGATAACTACGTAATTGACATAAAAAAAACTATTGGAAAGAAACCAAGATAAAGAATCTTAATAGGAGTGAAGGAGAATGATGGTCCCTCTTATTTCGATCTACTGTTAGGAGGCATGAGGATGACACGAGATAGATGTGATGTTCAACCCCACTCCTTTTATATTTACATACATACACACGAGATAGATACACATAGCGGGAGCTTAGTGCATTGGACTGTCCTTTTTATTTATTTTTTAAAAATCAAATGTCCATGAATGGCCGAGACAAAGTAAGTTCGACTTATATAATATTGGGGCTTTTGCATCTATACCCGGTTTTGGGGTCACAATTGAACCTATACCTACTTTGCAATAAAGTTTGCAAGCATACTCACTTTAAGATCAACTTCAGACTTATGAGTCTGAAGTCATAAAAAAAATGCTTGAAGTGAAAAAAATTACACTTCAAATGCACTTAATGCCAAATAGGTCTGAAGTGCAAACATGGTTTCATGCACTTAAGGCTAATACGTCTGAAGTAAAAAATTGCACTTTAGATGCACTTAAGGCCAATAAGTTTGAAGTGAAAAATTGCACTTCAGATGCATCTAAGGCCAAAAAGTCTGAAGTGTAACAAACGTTTTCATTCACTTAAGGCCAATAAGTCCGAAGTGAAAATTTGCACTTCAGATGTACTCAAGGTCAAATTGGTCTGAAGTGTAACCAATAGTTTCATGCACTTAAGGCAAATAAGTCTGAAGTGAAAAATTGCACTTCAGATGCACTTAAAGCCAAAAGGTGTGAAGTGCAACAAACGTTTTGCTACACTTAAGGCCAATAAGTTTGAAGTGAAAAATTGCACTTCAGATGCACTTAAGGCCAAAATGTCTGAAGTGCAACAAACGTTTTCATTCACTTAAGGCCAATAAGTCTGAAGTGAAAATTGCCCAGAAACGAAAATTTGTTCTTCGAATTATAACAATTCAATATACGATTTAATACCTAAATCTACTCCAAATGAGCTCAAATTTGAAACATAGCCTCCAAATATCATCAGAAACAAACCCAATCATCAATTTGTCAAAACAACAATAAATCTAACGAACCCATTTTGCAATTAAGAAAAATAAGAAGAAGAAACCCAAGCAATAGTAAAAAATAAAACGTTATAACAACTCACCATTGTAAAACATCATACTATATTAAAATATATTCACAACCACCATATAAAGTCATTGTCACCCGAAGAAGAAGAAGAAGAAATGAAGAGGTTGAGGAGGAGAAAGATGCCTGAAGTTGTTTAAAAAGTGGGTACAAATTAAAACTTTTTTAAAAAGTGGGCATAGATTAAATGAGGGCGACCAAATAGGGTGCCCCGTGCAATTTTTACTATAATATTGACAAGAGGTTATTGAGATTTTGTTTTACCCTTCTCATAAAACTTCTCACTTTTTTTCCGTTTGGTGATTCAAATTAGAGTTAGAGTTGGAGGTTGGGGGGTTGGGGGGGGGGGGGGGACACACTTAAACAACCCTCTATTGTCTAAGTTATTGAGGTTTGATGTAGAACTTTAAATATCAAAGTTTGATTAATGACAAATTATCCCTTGGATTTTCTTAACAATTCATAGTAACCAACTAAATTGTGAAACAACTGTAGTGATTTGTTTTTGGTTCTTCTGCATGACAAATTCTCATTATTAAATAAGAGTTTAAGTTATAGAATGACTAATGAGACATCTACCACTTCGAAATTTTTCTATTTTATGTTGTTTGAATATTTTATCTACTCTATTTCATGGTGTACATATTCCTAATATTGTCATGTATGATGAATTTTATAGTGGAATAAAGACTAACCCAAAAGAACCAAACTGCTTAATTGGACATCTAGAATCTATATAGTAAAAAGACTCATTTATGTATGACTTTTTATGTTTTTTTTTTCACTTCTCTTATTTAAAACTATCTAGTTCCAATCTGCAACGTTGAGAATTTTTATCAATAAAAATAAAATTAAACACCAATGGTACGGCATGAAACAATAGCACACAAATGTAGATACTATGATTTTTTATATATATAGACAAGGGGACAAGCTGACCTCTTAACAAAATATACGTTTGGATTTATATGAGGGCTACAACTTGTGAATTTTATGTCTGCAATCATATATCTTAACTTGTATTAGAACAGCCAAAACGTCGACCAGAGGTAGCCCGATTGGAATCTTGTACACTTTCCTTATTTTTCTTTTATTGATCCAGCAACTGTCCACAAGTTAAATCAAACAGAATGATATTATTTTTCACTATAAACACATAATTTTGGTTTTGCCTAAAAAAGAAGAAGATAAAACAGTAGATATGGTTTTAGTTTTACTTACATCTGCCTTAAATTGCCCATGTTACCATTAGTCCTGTTAGGACCGAAAAAATTAGGTGTCATGCAG